GTGTGTGTGTGTGTGTGTGTGTGTGTGTGTGTGTGTGTGTGTGTGTGTGCATGTGTGTGGGTGTGTGTGCTTGTGTGCATGTATGTGTCCATTTGATTGTAAAAAGATATCTTTTAATTAAAGAAGCTGAAAACATCATGACTGTTTCCCAAAATTTGGAAGCCAAGGTATAGACAGACACATGATCTGGTCTCTGGCAAAGAGCGCTAGCCAGCGCATGCTTGCCGCTGCCTGCTGGCGAGGGACAGAGCAGAGGATGTGCCCACTCTTCTCTGGAGAGAGGCAGAGGCAGGTGCCAGATGTCAGAGACAACAGAAAGTTGTTCTGGGCTGGCAGGAAGGACACAGCAGAATCTGGGCCCACTCTAGTGGCACTGGAAGCTTCATCAGAACATCTTTGCAATGTGTGATTTTGGACATGCTCTTGTCTGTGGAGCCACCGAGGCTGGCCCTCCCAGAGATTTCGTGAGGTGCCCTATATCCTGTTATTGAATCCATCCCCTCCAGCAAGCCATCATTATCTGTTATTTGCGGCAGAGTCATGCATCCTAGTGCCGTGACACACTAGCTCAGGATCCTCACACTCTGTCCTCCCGCGGCTGCTCCCTGGGAGTGCCACTGGAGTAGATTTCACTTTGTCTTGCATTACATTTTAAAAGCTTTAGATCAGTTTTTGAGAGCATGCACCATATCTCATTAATCTTTGCATCCCTCTGTCAATGCCCTGGATATTGCCAAAAATGATAAAGTTGACTTGAGTAGGCTGTAAGTAGACAAATAGGCCTTTGAAGCTTCTGTAGAACAATACCAGCCAAGCTACCCTGATATGGACTGACTGGAGAACTCTAAATAATGCCCAGAGAATGCTCCAAAGCTCTGCTGTCAGAGTTAAGACTTTTCCGGTGAGACATTTCCCGCGAGGTTCTACCTCTTGGGTCCAGGTTACTGGTCAGTAATGGCCAGAATGACGTCAGCAAACCTTCCTCTCAGAATCCCCCATCAACATCCATTCACTAAGCAATAAATAATGTGTGCATGGAGTTAGTGACACAGGAGCTGCCTGGACCCTCAAATTCTACTTAGCTCCTGAAGGTCATATTTGAAGGTCACATGTAAGTCTCGGGTGAAATGCTTGCGTGGCTGGGGCTGGAGGTGATAATCTGAGCCGACCTCTCATGAGCTTCAGTACAGTGATGGAGGCTGCTAACCTGGACAAGGAGTGTGCAATTCTAGAACTGTACACAATTCTAGAATCTGAGGAAAGGGAAAGGAGAGGTCACATAATTACCTCAGATTTCGTGGGAGAAAGAAGGCATCATGAATCACACACCAAGGGGACGATTGTTTTAAAACTGCATATAAAGTGGGCTTTGGAAAGCACCAGATGGCCCCATGGCCAAAAGATTTACATCTTATTTGCTTTGCTTAACTTAATAGCAAAATTAGTATGTATTCCTTCTGCCTTTGAAAGACATTTACCAGCAGGTGGACCGGATGGAAGAAGAGGAAAGGGGGGAAGGGAGGTCCAGAAGGAAAGAAGTAACCTCAAATCACATTTGGCTGGTTGGGAGGCTCAGGCCAGAGGGAGAATTTGCCTTGTAAAACCTGGACAGCAGAGAACCCTCTGTGTGCTGGAGAATGAGCAACAGAAGCCGATAAAAAGAAAATGCTAGGAAAAACAATGCATCCTACCCCATCAATTCAGCTTTTGATAAATATTTGTTGAATGAATAAAAATACTTTTCTCTGCATTTTTCTGTAACCAAACTCTTGGTTTGGCCAAAAGTCCATAGAAGGTCCCTTGGCTGGCATTGCCTTTTTCTTGGGTACTGTCATGGAAAGGAACCACGGACTCTTTTCCTATTTTCTTCTCATGAGATTAACCTCCAAAAGGTTAAAAAGAATACTCTTAGGCCTTGGACATGAAACTCCCTCTACCTCAATTTGAACTTTGGCTGCAATGCTATCAGAAGCAATGTGGCGTGGCTCTTAGGCCTGGAGAGTGAGCTGCTTCATTCTGGAATCTCCTACCCTCGACACAGGTCAGTATAACAGGGGCGTGCTGAGGTTCAGCTGGCATGCGGTAAACCAGTTCCACTGGCTCCGTGTTTTCTGACACGGTTCTCGACTACCCTAGGGGAGCCTGGTTAGTGGCAGGAGTTATAGCTACCTCCCTGTGCAGGCTTGGGATAGTGGGGTACTGTCAGCCCACCCTACACCTCTCTCGTGTGCAGTGACAAGGGGATCCAGATCTCAGAGGCCCTGTGGTGGTTCCACATTCTGCCTGGCATGGGGAGACTTGCATCCTTATCTTCCTCCTGGACAGGCATCATCCATTCTGTTTTCACTGGGTCTTGCTAGGACTGGGACATTAATGCCTCTTGGGATTTGCGTGTGGATGTTTTGCATCCATAGCTCCAAGCATATAGAGTGGTCTTGGTGAGTACCTGACTCCTGATCCATTCTAAAGTCTGCATCTCTAAGATCTCACAGGCATCAAGAAGGAAGTGTGAGCTCCATATTGGCAGAGCATCATGCAATGGAGTGAAGGTATCTGGGAAAAGTTGTGTATAAATACCACCCAGTTGTCTTTGAGATGGCACACCATAATGAAAGTTGTGATCAGGAGAAATTGCAAAGTTCTCAGTGAGACTGCTCATTGTCATTGAATTTTCTCGTTGTTGGCTTTAAAGTTGGAAACATAATACAGAGAGGAACCTTAAAATCATGTAGCTCTATGACATTGTCCCTGACCTCTCATGTCAGTGAGCTGGCTGGTATTGTTCATTGCTAATGAAGCATCATATTTGTGTTGGTAAGTGTATTTCATTGCTATAACTGAGATTTGACCTTGGTTTGTAGCATGGCTTTTTCCTGGTGTGCAATGGAGTTTGGAGATTGATCTGCTTGTGCTGTGGGGTGGCTCCAAGATGTCAAGTTGGACCCAGACTCCCTGGCTCATCTGCTTTCTCACCCTAGTGCTTGGCTTTCTTAGGCTACAAGACGGTGGCATTTCCTCTGGGCATCACCTCCATCCAAGAAGAAAGGGGAGCGCGGTGGGCCAGTGGAAGCAAATACAGTGCAAAGGAGTTGTGTTGGCTGGACCCGCCCTTCCCCATCGGGACAACAAATGATTTTTCCTGAACATTTTCAGATTTTTCTTTATATCTTTGGAGATAGGATTTGCTAGATAGACTGGGGTAGCCTGGAGCATATGACTGTCTTCCCTTAATTTTTCAATTCCTAGGTATAGGCAGTGTTACCACCATACCTGACTAGTTTTCCTAAAATCTGAGTTGAGCGTGTTTCTATTTTCATGTCTTTTGCCAGGATAGGAGACAATGGCCATTCTATTGGTTCAGATTATCAGTGAGAAATGTAGGGCATTTGTTTTGGGTTAGACAACTGGAATTTCTGCCCCTCCCCCAGGCTATAACATATATGATACAATCTCCTTCTAAATTCATTAAATCTTTTACTTCTTCAGTGATTCATCAGAGGTTATTTCAAACTCCTGATACATACAGCAGAGTTCACCAGATTCGGGGCAACTTTTGATGAAGTGGCCGTTGTGTGGAAAGTAGCCCTTGATTTGAGACATCTTGTTTAGCTTTGTTTTCTACCAGACTATGAATTGTGGTGAGTGACAAAAAGATCAGAAGGAGGGGGCAGGCTTTACTTTATCCTCAACCCCGCCCCCAAATCACACTCTATCACATACGGTAAGATCCCAAAGCAGATCTTTAACAGTGAGTGAGCGCATGAGCCAAGCTGGGCAGGCTGGGACTCTGGCACTGTTCTGATCTCAGGATCTG